AGTTTTTTTCTTAAAAAAATAATAACGAGTCACACACTAAGCATGACAATTATATTAAATGTTTTATTAATTTTTATTAAATCTAATAGAAAGAGGTAGAATTTCTTCTTTTGCGGCAAAAAGGCAATCCAAAAGGAACTCGTGTTTTTGATGCGATTGCCGAGGAATTATGAGAATTGAATTTTACCAAAAATTCAAATAAGGTGTATCTTGTTCAAGCCAATAAATAGAGCTGGGGTTATTGTTAAAGCAGCCAGTAGAAACCAAAATAACTAGTTAAAGTAAGTATGAAAGAGTTAATTCCATTTATTTATTTTACTTTCATTTTTTTAGTGTTTTTGCTCATTTCTTTTTTTTCTGCTTTCCATACATCTTTTCCTACTCCCTCTTTTTCCCCTTTTTATGTGTTTTTAAAATACATAAACATCTTATAAAAAATCTTGGATTTTTTTAAATTATGGAAACATTTCCGAAATTCAATTATACATTATTAAATTTTAGTGAAAACATGAAAAAAAATGTGAAATATCTTTTTAATTCGTGAGATCTTTTTGTATAAATTCATTGATATTTTTAATAAATCATTAACTTTCCTTGACTCTGTGAAATAAAAAAATCAGAAAATAATATAAAGCCAGCTCAAAACGGGGCATGGACCTGGCCAAGGCACATCCCGCGGGTACAGTCGGACAATAATAAACCAATTGATATCAGCCAATGGGCTAGCCCACAATCTCCTAGAGTCCAAGCCCATGGGGAGGGGGAGGGGGGAGCGTGCACCCTCTAGGCCTAGTAAGAAAGTTAAGTTGACCACACCTCCCATACTTAAAAGACGAAGGAAGCTATTTTGCCTAGAGGTAAATACACCCACGGTCACTGTAATTGCGTCGAAAGTACGATACGGTCACCCAATTTTGAAATATGCTTGTTATGGTCACTGAATATGACGGGACGTGAAAATACGGTTACTCTAGCGCATATGCGGTGCGTACAGGCAGTTTGACCACGTGTTGACCGCTCGTTGGGGACAGGTGGCGAACCGTGGAGGCGCGGCTGTGGAAATATGCAAAAAAGCCCTCAGGCATCACCACACCCCCCATTCATCCCTCCTCCACTCGTCTTCGTCGTTGAGAAAGGGGGCGCTGCATAGGCCACGCCGCCCCGGCGATCATCAGCGCTACAGCGGAGGCGACGGCGACTTCATGCGTGGTTGACGAGGCGCCGCCGCCGCGCGCGTTCGCCACCCGTGGGAGGCGGCGGCGATGGCCCCTGTTCGTCGTGCAGAAGGGGCGGCGGCCCCCGTGTACAGTAAGCCCCTACAACTGAAGAATCCTGCTATTTTGGCATTTTGATGTTGAAAAACCTTCCTTTTCGGGCCGCATTGCCTTACTAGATGTGTTGCAGTTGGTAGATAGGCCGGATTCTGCTAGGGTTTTGGCATGGGATTTGGAGGTAGGAGAATTGGGGCTTAGGGTTTTACATGTTCAAAGAAATTGATGAGAGGTGGAGATGTCATGTCGATTCTGATGTATGTTGTATTTGTGTTGCTGTCTCAGGCCGTCGAAGCAGCAACTTCTCTGTGGAAATCAACCATGGTGGTTTTTTTGTTGGGCATGGAAGGAACCGTGGTTATGTTAATGGCCGTGCCATTTGGTATGATCATGTGGAGAAGGTAACATGGTCACCAATTTTCATTGAAAGCCTAGTGGAGGAAATTGGCTATGAGATGGCAGGCAGGCTCAAGGTTTTCTATCGTGTCCCCATCCTTACACCAAGTACTAATGGTCTGAGGGAATTGAGTGATGATGAGCAGACAGATAGAATGATGGTGTTTGTTGATATTATGCACCACTTCTTTAACATCTACCTGGATCATGATGAAAGCTTTCAGGCTAATCCAGATGAAGATGATCTTGTTCACAATCCAAGAGCTCATTTGCCTCCAGTCTTGAGCCCTGCAAAGAGAGTTGAGCCAAAAACAGAGCATACAGGGGCAGGGCCAGATGCAGAGGCAGAGATAGGGGCACCCATTCCTCTCCAGGTCATATTCCCTGAAGTTGATCAAGACGAGGATGTGAATCAATTTGAATTTGTGAGGAGGTCATCAACACAGCAAGGTGTGGGTAATCAGATGGAGGAAGCAGAGCCAGTTGCAGTGCAACAACCAAGTCAGGACCATGATAATGAAATGCAAGCAGAGCCAGGTTGTGATGGTGTAGGAAGCACATCAATGAGGAGGAGTGTTAGGCAGACCAAAGTCAATTATGCAATGGAAGAAGATGATGCAAATAGTGACACAGAGGATGAAGATTCTGACCCAGGTGTTGGGGATATGATTACTGGAGGTAAACCGGCTAGGAGTGGCCGGGTTAGCTCCATAAAGATAGAAGCCCATGAAGACGTAAGAATGGTGGCGCTTTACGAAGGCCCAAGGCCCAAAGGCGGGTTAAAGCCTGTAGATGTAAACCGACTCTTTCATGTAACTTGTATTGTAAGTTAGAAGGAAGGAGAGACCGAGCCGGACACGTTTATGATCCGGCCTCGGGGCTCTATAAACCGGTGGGCGTCAACCTATGTATATAAAGGGATGACCCGGCTGCGGTTTAGGGACAATAAACAACAACTCGAGAGCCAGGCAAAGCGGATTCGCTCCCTGGTCATCGTAACCCTAGCAGTACCAATCACAACTAGACGTATGCTTTTACCTTCATCGAAGGGGCTGAACTAGTATAAAATCCCTCGTGTCCTCCGTCCGGCTTAACCCCTTTAAGCTAACCCGTAGCGATGGCTCGACGACTAAGTCCTTTCACAAGGACATCTATCGTGACAAACCCACGACAGTTGGCGCCCACCGTGGGGCTATCGCACGATGGTTTCGAGTTCTTGAAGGGCAGCTTTGATGGACTCAGGGGATACGCTGTGGGCCGGATGACGAAGAGTCGTCGCGGCAAGCTCTACATCGACGACGCATGATGGGGTCCCGAGGCCGGTTCAGTCGAATACGAGCATTGGGTCCCCTTTGGTGGGATTCACGTCTTCATCGGCAAGATCAGCGAACCGGGCCCTGAGCCAGACACCTGCACCGACATCATCGAGACGGCTCGGCGTGCAAGCCCTTCCCCGGTTCAGCCCGCAGCAAGGCATGCTTTCGTAGGTGTCATCCATGGAGCTGAATATGAGGATGGACCGGCATCCGATGGAGAAAACCTTATCCGTTCTGATGACGAGTCTTCAACCGGAGAAACCAAGTCCCTGTATGAACTACAGGATGGCCGGGTTAGCGGAGGGTCTGATGGCAAGAGTATTCCGGACCTCCTCGATCTGCCAAACCGAGTCGCGGTCTTCATGGCCGGTACACAGCCAGCACAACACTCTTCCACCACTGTGGCAATGCTCTCCGGTTCAGCAACAGTAACGCCATCAGGAGCAGGGGGCTCTGCGCTGCCTCCGGCTCAAGTATTGTCTGAATTGTTCGACGCTTTGGCAATGTTGATGGCAGCAGAAGTGGACGCCGTAGCCCGAAATCAGCATAATGTGGAGATTGCAAAAGTGAAGGATCAGATAACTCAGGCTAAAGCGGACCTGGAAGCAGAGAACGCCAGGATGGCTACAGAACGGGACGAGTTGGAAGCTCAGGCCTACCGGCTTAGGATGGATCAGAATGCCTCAGATGAGGTCATGAGAAGGAGATACCGGTCGCAACTCCCGCCGGGTTATGAGCCAAGAAATCTCTTCAACACGCCAGTAGCCGGAACCAGTAACCAGC